TGTGCCACTGAGCTATACCCCTGGCTATAACATAATTTTAAGTCATGGATTGTGATGCCCCCTGCCTTGCTTTTGTTGCCCAGAATTGCCTTTTCTAGTCTAGGTCTCTGATTCCAAATGAACTTCAGGATTGTTTTTTCTATTTTTGTGAATACACTGTTGGAATTTTAATCAGGGTTGCATTAGATTTGTATTAACAATTTTTGGAAGTATGGTCATTTTCACCTTGTGGTTTCTTCCTACCCAAGAAAAAGGGATATTGATTTTCTTTCTTTCTTTTTTTTTAGGGGATATTGATTTTCTGATGTTCTCTTCAATCTCCTTTTTCAGAGTAATTTTCAAGTAGAGGTCTTTTACTTCCTTTGTTAGATTGATTCATAAGTTTTTCTTTTTCCTTTCCTTTTCTTTCTTTCTTTTTTTTGGTGGTATTGTTTGTGAAAGATGTAGTTTCCCTAATTTCTCTCTCAATGTGTTTGTTATTTGTGTACAGGAAGGTTGTTGATTTTTGAGTGTTGACTAATAATTTAACTTCTTTTTTATCTTATTTTATTTCTTTCTTTTGTCTAGTTGCTCTAGCTAATGTTTCTTCCAGAGCTATATTGAAGAAGAGTGGTGGCAATGGATATCCTAGTCTTACTCTTGATTTTAGAGTGAAAGTTTTCAGTTTTTGTCTATTTAGTATGATGTTGGCTGTTGGTTTGTCATGGATGTCTTTTATCAGATTGAGTTAAAGACCATCTGTTTCAGTTTCCTGTATGGTTTTTATACTGAATGAGTGTTGGACTTTGTCAAGTGTTTTCTGCATCTATTGAGATGATCATATGGTTTTTGTCCTTGGCTTTGTTTGTATGGTATATTATGTTTATGAATTTGCGTATATTGAATTGTCCCTGCATCCCTGGTATGAATACTATTTGCTCATGGTGTATAATGGTCTCGATGATTTGTTGCATTGTGTCTGTCATCTTAATGAGGATTTCTGCATCTATGTTCATTAGATTGACCTTTAATTCTCTTTTTTGGTTGGATCGTGTTTTTGGTAGCAGGATAATGCTTACTTCCAGGGACGAATTTGGGATTATTGCTTCCCTTTTAGTTTCATAAAGAGTTTGAGAAATAGTGGCATTAGATCTTTTCTAAATTTCTTGTAGAACTCAGCAGTGAATCCAGGAGGCCTGGGCTTCTCTTTGTAGTAGGTTTTTAATTACATCTCCAACTCGATTCACTGATACTGGTTATTTAGAATTTCGTATCTTTTTGATTCAGCTTTGGTAATTCATATGTATCTAGGAGTCTGTCCATTTCTTCTGTGTTTTCCATCTTATTAAAATATAGATTCTTGAAGTAGGTATTACTGACCTTGTGGATTTCATCTTTTTCATTCCTAATTACATGGACCTGGGTCTTTTTTTTTTCTCTTTCTTTCTTTCTTTCTTTTTTTTTTTTTCCTTTGGATAAAGTTGGCTAAAGGTTTGCCAGTTATATTTAATCTTTGAAAGAATTAGCTCTTTGGGGCTGGGGATTTAGCTCAGTGGCATAAGCGCTTGCCTTGCAAGCGTGTGGTCATGAGTTCAATCCCTGTAAATTCAATACCGGTAAAAATACAAAAAAAGAATAAGCTCTTTGACTTATTGGTTCTTTCTATTGTTTTCTTAGTCTCCATTACATTAATTTCTGGCCTGAACTTTATAATTTTCTCTCTCCTATAAGCTAGGGTTTTATTTGCTTTTCTTTTTCTGGAAGCCTGAGGTTCAAAGTTAGGTTCTTTATTTGAGCTTGCTCTATTTTTCTGATATGGGTATTCACCACTAGTATATATTCATTGCCCTCATAGGACTTTCACTGTGTCCAATAAGTTTTGGTAGGTATAGGCATTATTGTTTAATTGTGTAAACTAATTTCTTCTTTAATTTCCTCTTGACTCATTGGTTGTTCAGAAGGGTGTTACTTAATTTCCTTGTGTTTATGAATTTCTTGTGGCTTCTTTTGCCAATTTCATTGCACTGTGATCTGATAATATACATGGGATAATTTCAATTCTTTTGCATTTACTTAAGCTTATTCTATGAGTTAGTATGTGATCTGTTTTGGAGACTCTCCTGTGTGCAGTTAAGAATATGTGTTCTGATATTGTGGGGTAGAACACTGTAGACATTGACTAAGTGCATTGTTCAAGAGTTTGGTTCAGTTCTGGTATTTCTTGTGATTTTTTTTTTTTTTTTTTGGTCTAGTTGGGCTTTTGTAACAGTGGGGTATTAAAAACCCTCCCATTGGAATTGTATTAGTGCTTATTTTTCATGTTCCTTAATATGTTTTATATAGTTGGATGCACGTATATTTGATGCATATATAGGAAATGTTCTCTCTCTCTCTGTGATCAGGATTTGAAATAATCAAAAAATGTATGCAGTATTTTCACTGGACATAGTGGCACCTCTCTGTGTCTCAGCACTCTGAAGGCTAAGGCAGGTGTAGACTGAGGCAGGAGGGTTGCTTTGAGTTTGAGCCCAGCCTAGAAATCGGATTGCCCGTGACGTCTTGGCATAACTGGAGTCCAAACTATCAGGTTTTTTTTTTTTTTTTTTGGCAGGGCATGATCTTTTACGCTTTATGCTGTTGGAAATTGAGTAGCTGTAGCTTCTTCTTAAAATTTATTGGTATTACTCCAGATACTGGAAATTTATACTTATACCAGTTAAAATAGTTGGCAATTATTTATTTCATACAGTTTTTAAAAAATAACAAAATGAGACGTGACTTCCCTAATGGTCAGAGCCATCACTGTGGTAGCAATAGGTTAGCATATTCAAAGCGTCTCAGTTTTAATGGAGAACACACAGGGTGAGATTTTTTTTTTTTTTTTTTTTTTTTTTTTTGGTACTGGGGATTGAACTCACAGCCTCATGCTTGCCAGACAGGCGCTTACACCGCTAAGCTAAATCCCTGGCCCACATGCTGAGATTTTTAATATGTAATTTTAAATAGTAACATTTATGAAAAGGAAGTGTTTGGACATCAGATCAGACTCCTGAGAATAAACCTATCTGATATTGCCAGAGACAGGGTTGATTTTATTTTTTTTTAAAACAGGGTCTTGCTAATAGTTCAGGTTGGCCTTAAACTCACTGTTAGTCCGGGCTGGCCTTGAACCCACAGTGATGCTCCTGCCTCAGCCTTCCTAGTGCTGGGATAACAGGTGTGTGCTGCCTCTTCTGACCAGGGTTGGTTTTTAGTATATGAGTTTGCATAGCTTTGTTTTTACTTTGTGATAGGTGGAAATAGTAATATCTTTGATGGTCTTTTCCTTGAGATTCTTGGAAACTTTATGAATATGTGCAGCAAATATTGTTTATGGAAAGATGAATGAGACCTGGGTGTGTGGGAGCTTTTTGTGCTTGTCTCATTCTGCTAAACAACGTGAGTGCCTTCACTGTCTCTGTGTGTTTTTCTTTCTTTCTTTCTTTTTTTTTTTTTTTGTCTTTTTCATTTTTATCAGTACCAGGGATCGAACTCACGACTGCCTGCTTGTAAGGCAGGCACTTAGGTCGCTGAGCTAAATCCCCAGCCCCTTGTGTGTGTTTTTCTCATCTATCCAGTCAGGGAGTTAAGGATTGTGATCTGTTGATTTGGGCCAGATCATAGATTCTGGGATTCTCAAATGTGTTTTTTCTTTTCTTTTCTTTTCTTTTTTTTTTTTTTTTTGATACTGAGGGTCAAACTCATGACCTCACACTTGCCAGACATGTGCTTATACTGCTGAGCTAAATCCTTGCCCCTCAATATGTGTCTTAAACCATAGAATACCTGTTAACGTATGCTGTTCTCAAGTATTTTCTTTCTCATTAGTATAGTAGCTAGTGTAAGAGGAACCCAGTTATTTTGCTGAGAAGACTGTATTAGGGGAGGAGGCCGAAATTGCGCAGGAGACCTAACTTGGGTGTCAGAGGAGGGCAGATGTCATTCTTGGTGCTGGAAGGAAGGGAGGGGCTCATTACTTTGCTTTGTGTTCGGTTGAGATGAGAAGTAAATCCTTGTCAACCTGGGATGGATGAAAACAGTATTATAACAAAAGGGTTTTTTGAAGAGAGCAAGGAATGGCCTCTCTTAAGTTCAGTTTGGGAGAAAGAGGTGATTTCTTCAGTAGAAAGGGGAAAGGGTAATTCTACTGTAAAGTTGTAAATATGAGGAAATTCTAGTGATAATTATATAGTTCATGAATACCAAGAAAAATGTAGGATACTGATACTCTGTTGCTTCCTTTTATTTGTTGAATATGGCAGAAAAGGGCTGGGGATATGACTCAGTGGTAGAGCTCTTACCTTGCGTGCATAAGCCCCGGGGTCCAGTTCCCAGCCACATAAGTAGTGGTGTATGCCTGTAATCCCAGCGTTTGGGGGGCTGAAGCAGGCGGGTTGATGCAAGTTTGAGACCAGCCTGGGCTACACAGTGCATTCAAGATCAGCCTGAACTGCATAGTGAAACCCTATCTCAAAAAGACAAATAAGCAAACAAAACTAAAATTAAAAACAACCCACAAAAGACAGAAAAACAGCACAGATAATACACCATGCCCTTAAGGATCTTTGGTACGCCTGTTAATCTCATTGTTTTCCAAGTCTTTCAACTGACTGGCTAAATAGTGTCACTTCTCTCCTCCCCCTCCTGACCCTCCCTCCTGGAGCGTGAGCTGTCAGGGTACTGAGAGTAGCAGGGCTTCCCCTCTAGAGCCTTTATCCTGCACCTGGTCCTCGTGTTGTTCCTTAGGAGAAATGCAGGGCGGGCGAGTGTCGTTAGCCCTGGCTAGTTTCTTTTTCCAAAACTACTACGTGTTGCAGGATTTTTAGAAAAATTATTATTAGGTCAAAAATAAACCTTAAGCTAAAATGTTCTAATGTTTTATGAGGAAAAATATTATATGAGAATGATTAACCAGCCATAAAGAAAAACTCAGTCTTATGTGATTTTACATAGAGTTTCAGTTTATTTTCTGGTTTCAATAGAACAAGTTGAAATCATCGCAGAAGGATAAAGTTCGACAGTTTATGATCTTCACACAATCTAGTGAAAAAACTGCAGTAAGTTGTCTTTCTCAAAATGACTGGAAGTTAGATGTTGCAACAGATAATTTTTTCCAAAATCCTGAACTTTATATACGAGAGAGTGTAAAAGGATCATTGGACAGGAAGAAGTTAGAACAACTATACAATAGATACAAAGGTGAGTGTTTGCGTGTGATGTTAAATATTTCTGAAGTTATGGGTGTGTGAGAAATTAAATACTACATAAAATATAAGCTGGGTGGGTGTGTCTAGCAGAGCTCTATAGTTTGAGAATTATTTCAGGAGATCTGAGAGCAGAAATCATTTCCTCTTTTCACTAAAATCACATCTTGATATATCGCTTCCTTTTTTTTCCCTCTCCCATTATCCAATTTGAGACTAGAAGATCAGGGGTTACCACGTTCCCCTCCCCTTCTTGTGATACCAAGGGTTGAACCCAGGGACTTTGCACTGAGCTACTTTCCCGGCCCTATTTTTATATTTTATTTTAAAGACAAGGTTTCCCTAAGTATATGTTGGGGCGGGGGGCTTAAATTTGGTGATCCTCCTATCTCAGCCTCCCAAAATACTGGGATTGTGAGTGCCACCATGCTTGGCTACCTCCCCTCAATTTTGTAAAATTCTACTGAACCGATTTTTTTTTTTTTTTTTTTTTTTTGAGACAAGGTCTCACTGTGTAGTTCAGGCTCACCTTGAACTCACTGTGGAGCCCTCAGGCTGACCTCAGACTCATGGTGATCTTCCTGCCTCAGCCTCCTAAGTATTGGAATTACAGGCTTGAGCTACCATTGCCAGGCCCTGCTATACCAGATTTTATTTTATTTTACTTTTTTGGTACCAGGGATTGAACTCATGACCTCATGCTTGCCAGGCAGGCACTTACACTGCTGAGCCAAATCCCCAGCCCTTGTACCAGATTTTAATAAAATTTGAGTAATGCCTTTTAAAAGAATTATCGAATAATTACAGAATTAAGCTTTTTTTCTTCTTTTGTTTGTTGAGACAGAGTCTCACTTTGTAGTTCAGGCTGTCCTTGAACTCATGTAGCCCAGGCTGGCCTCAAACTTCTGGCAGTCCTTCTGCCTTAACCTCCCCAAATCTGGGATTATAGGCATCTGCCACCTTACCTGGTTAACATACACTTTTTAAAAATTAAGCACAGCTAGGTGAGTGGCACATGACTGTAATCCTAGATACTTGGGAGGCTGATATAGAAAAATTATTAAATTTGGGGCCAGCCTGGGTAACTTAGCCAAATCCTGTTTTTAGAAAGGTCCCTGGGCTCAATCCTAAAAAATAACACAACAAAGGGCCAGGGATGTAGTTCACTGATAGAGCACTTGGCTTGCACATGTGAGAGGCCCTGGGTTGAATTACCAGTACTCTTCAAAAATAAAAATGTGTAATAAGTAACTAAACAAAAAATTAATAGCTTTTCTATCTATATTCACCAAAGTTAGTAACCAACATTTAGTAGACAGAGGTGAATCTTTCATGTCTTTATGTTCATATAAATATGTGTGTGTATATATATATGTATAATTTCAGCTTTTTTCTGAAAATTTTATTCATAATTGATACACCAAAATAAAATGTTTTATTGCTAGAGTTACTGCCAGATAACTTTTAGAAAGATATTAGCAAGTCATTTTATTTATTCATGTATTTATTTATCTTGGTACCGGGAATTGAACCAGCGCTGTGCCACTGAGCTACATGCCTAACCCCAAGTCATGTTTTATTTTTTACAACTTAGATATATGTGATTTTATTTGTGTAGTATACAGTTTTTTCAGTAGTATAACTATCTTAACTATATTACATATACATATGCATGTGTATACATATATATACATACATATACGTACATTCTTTGAGCTTCTTACACTAGTGAGCCCCGCAAGTCATATTTGATAGTACTGTTCACTTCCTTCTCCTTGTATATATCATTATTTTGAAATTTCTGATTTTTTTCCCTTTAAACAACAGGTATAGAGGCTTATATTAAGATAGAATTGTATAGTTTTTCTAAAGCTCTTAAGAAGTGATTGTTACAGTAAAATGAACTTTTTTAAGAAAAAAGAATTTCTGAGCTGAGTGTTGCTCAGTGGTCCAGTACTTGCCTAGCATGTGAGGCCCTGGGTTTGATGTTCAGCATAGTGTGGAGACTAAAGGGGATTTCTATACATAATACTGTTAATTTAGAATGTCTTCCTAAACAGAATCTGGATTTGTTGTCATAATCCCTTGTCCCTATACAAGGCTGTGTCTGATTTTCTTGGTGTGTTTAAGTCTGGGGAAATTTTCACATGGTTATATGCCCTCTTGCAATCTTTATGGTACAAAGTGGCTTTAATTATTACATAGGAAAATGTCTGTTACAGTAGGTCTATGTCTGGTATACTGTGATCTTTTAAACATGGAAAACGAAGCATTGCCTTTCAGTTGTAGGAATGTAGCATAACAAAGTGTGGCACTAATTTGATACTGCCTTGTTACTTTTCAAGATCCTCAAGATGAAAATAAAATTGGAATAGATGGCATACAGCAGTTCTGTGATGACCTGGCACTTGATCCGGCCAGCATTAGTGTTTTGATCATTGCATGGAAGTTCAGAGCAGCGACACAATGTGAGTTCTCCAAGCAGGAGTTCATGGACGGCATGGCAGAATTAGGGTGAGTGTGTACCTACCTTGAGATTAGACCAGGGCCGTGAGGGTTATGCAGCTGAGTTACAGCATCTGTTGGTTTTTGTTTTTCTTTTTGTCTTTGTTTATTCCCCAGTGCTGAAGTTTGAACCCAGGTCTTTGCTCTGATGTACTTTTCCTACGCTTTTAAAAGTTTTAAGATTTACTGGCCCACAAATATTAGATAAATAGAAATGAGTTTTCTGGGGATGTCTAGTTATCTGTATATAATTGTTATAACTTACTCCACATTGCATTTTCATTTGTTTCTGACTTCACTAATGCTAAAATCATGCATTAATAATGAAATGAGCAAAAAAAAAAAAGAAATGAGCAAGGTTGTAAGTTATTTCCTAATGAGAGGCCATGAACTCTGAATTGATAAAATTCTACAGTTTTAGGTCTGGAAGGTACCTTAGAAGTTACCTGTTGCCTTTTGTTCTGTTTATGCCTTGACAGCTTGATCACCTGAATGACTTTGGCTGAATAGATGCAAAGTCATGGGTGGAGATTTTACTTATGACATCTAGTTGTCTTTATCAGTTCTGCAAAATATTCCATTTTTGGGTAGGTAACAGGCTGTCCTTCCGCTATTTGAATAATTCAGTGCCTGTGTTAAGCACTTCATCTACTTACTTCTCAACAATTTTGTAGTGGTTGCACCCTCGTTATAGAAGTGATCAAGTACAAAGAAATAATAGAAATAGGTAACATTGGAATCTGGGGGAACCATGTGTTCTGCTTTTTGAGCCTGGAGGCCATTGTCATCAGTCAGGGTCCAGTCAAGACACAAAGCCACAGTAGTTTTTGGAGCAGGAAAATTAAAAGAACTGTTGTACTATGTAAAAGAAAACTCTCTCCTTTTTTACTTTTGATACCAGGGATTGAACTCGTGATCTCATGCTTGCCGCAGGTGCTTATACTGCCGAGTTAAATCCCCAGCCCAAGAAAACTCTTAACTCAGAAGTATAAGCACCTGCAGCGAGCACGAGATCATGAGTTCGATCCCCAGTATCAAAAGTAAAAAAGGAGAGAGAGTATTCTTTTACATATCTAGAAGTGGCTATGGCCACCACTGCTGAGTAACTTGCATATCCCAGGAAGGAATTTAAAAACTGGAGAGATAGTAGCAGGCAGTGAGTGATCGAGAGGATGGGAGAGCAGGTGCAGCCACTGCAGGAGCAGAGTCACTGCAGTGTTTAAAAAACTAGGTAGAGGACACTTGCTGGGGAGCTGGGAGAGTTGTCACCAAACCACTGTTCTCTACAGAAAAAACAGCCTGAGGTCAAAGGTCCTCAGTCTTCTTGCCTTTCATTGTCCTCTCCAGAGCCTACTGTTGAATGAACTGTCAAGAAAAATGCAGCCGGGGCTGGGGGTTTAGCTCAGCGGCATAAGCGCCTGCCTTGCAAGCAGGCAGTCGTGAGTTCGATCCCTGGTACCGATAAAAACGAAAAAGACCAAAAAAAAAAAGAAAAATGCAGCCTGTTGGCTTGTAGTGCGCTGTTAGGAAGCAGGACAGAAAGAGTGGGTTTCAGCCAGGTGTGGTGTGCATGCCCGTCATCTCAGCTATGTGGGAGACTGAGACGGGGGACTTGTTAAATTCAAGGCCAGCCTGGGGAATTTAGCCAGGCCCCATCTGAAAGTAAAGAAGAACTGGGCATAGAGCTCAGTGATGGAGCACTTGCCTACCATCTCCAAGGCCCGGGCTCGGTCCCTAATTACACCCTACCACACGCACGTACACACAAAGAAAAACAGGCTTACAGAAAAAAGGCAAGCTGGGCATGGTGGCATGCATCTGAAATCCTCTGAGTCAAGAGAACCTTACTTCCAGACCTACCTGCGCTACATTTGCAAGACCCACCTCGCTTCGCCTTGCCGGAACCCCTTGCTAGGAGAGAATAAATTAATAACCTTGCTTGGATTGTCCTATAGCCAAAGACATCGTCCTGAGCATGTAGTTTAGTATTGTATTGTTTTTGTTTTTTTTAATGCCAGACGCAGTTTTTTTCATTTACAATTGAAACTGAATTCATGTAAAATGTGATGAACTTTCAGTGTGAAATTTTATTTTACAACTAGTAATCTAGAAGATGTCATAAGGAATATAGAAAAAAAATAAAAACAAAAGTCATTAGAAGAAAAAAAAGACTAGATTTTTTTTTTTTTTTTTTGGTGATGTCTTTATAAAATGTGTATTTGTAGCTGGGTGTAGTGGTGCATGCCTGTGTAATCCCAGCACTTGGGAGGCTGAGGCAGGAGGATCCTTTCAAGTTTGAGACCAGCCTGGGCTACAAAGTGAGCTCAAGGCCAGCCTGAACTGCCTAATAAGACCCTGTCTCAACACCTCCCCACCCCCAAAGTATATTTCTGTTTTATGACAAAAGTAAATCTTGGTACTTAACCTTTCCAATTTTTGAAAGTTGACTGTTTTGCAGATACAGAAAAAAAGTGTTGATTTGAGATAAGTCAGTTAGAAATGGTAGCTGATATTTATTATTGACCTTCGTACATAGCAAGAAGCAAGTTTTTAGAGAAACGTTCCACTCCTATGAGTGTGGAAGCCAGGCCTGTGGTAGAATCACGTCTGAGTGATGTCCAGTGCAGCTGGTGATTGTACTGATGGTTGGAGGCTAGCCTGCCTCTTCTCATCTCTTCACTGAAGCTGATTTCTGTTGGTCAGTTTGTTGATAGTCTAGTTCAAATCATGTAATTAAGAGTGAAAGCCCATTTCTTTTAAAAATAGTGATTATTTCTAACATTTCATCACTCCTGACCTCCTCCTCTTTCACTGCATATAGGAGTTTCTTTGCCTTAGTTTTGCTCTTTGAGGTGTCGTGATATAGTCAACAGTGGGCCCAAATTATTAATTGGAAAATTTCAGAAATAAACAGTTTATAAATTGTGTATCCTTGTAAGGACCGTGATGAAGCTGCCTTCCTGTTCTGTCCTGCTGGGGATCTGAGTTTTCCCTTAGCCCCGTGTGTCTTCACCTTCTCCACCACCTGCCTGCCATCTCACTTTACCAGAGCACCCGTGTCTATGTCCCAGTGCTTGTGTTTAGTAACCTGCTTTGTAATGGTCCCAGAATGCAGGCATAATGACGCTGTAATTTGGATGTGCCCAAAGAAGAACTGTCCACCGCTTCCTAAAGTGAAAAGTATATTTTGAAAGAGAGACTACATAACTTTTATTACAAAATGTTGTTAAAATTCACTTTTATTGTTAATTTTTTTCTGTGCCCAATTTATAAATTAAATGTTATCATAGATATATATTATAGGAAAAAAGGATAATATAGGGTTTGATACTGTCTGAAGTTTTAGTTATCCACTGTGGGTCTTGGGTCATAACCCCTTGGGTTAAGCGGAGTAGTAGCATATTTATTCCCATAATATAAAAAGATGTAATTTCATCTGATTTTTTTTTTAAAAGCAGTGCTAGGAAGTAAATACAAGCTGTCATGGGAATAAGTAAGTTACACTTTTAATTTGTAGTAAAAAAGTTAACCCTGTGTAAACTTAATTTTATAATATAGATGTGACAGCATAGACAAGCTAAAGGCTCAAATACCCAAGATGGAACAAGAATTGAAAGAACCAGGACGATTTAAGGATTTTTACCAGTTTACTTTTAATTTTGCAAAGAATCCAGGACAAAAAGGATTAGGTAAGAACATTTTAAAATTATATTTGGTGTTTCAAATGTACGTAAATATCTTGACAGTATCACTTTTGCAATGAAAATTTTGTGTTTTGAGTATAAAGTCATAAATGTACACATTATTGGAAAGCAATAGGTAGTGTGAACTTTCAGTCAGAAAATACCACACATACTGGGCAGAAGGTATCATGTGGATCACTGATGTTTTGAGAAGTAAAAAATTACAAATACAGGAAATACTTGTTAAAATTCCACTGACATTTATTTACAGATAAGTCTTTTATTTATAATGTAGAAGGTGTTTTAGTAACTATAGAAATAGTGTTTTAAGAGTTCTGAATTACAGAATGGCCAAATAACTTTATTCTTATTTGAAAACTTTAAGAAAGAATGAAAAAGAAAATCTTAATCTTATTATCCAGAAATAATTTAGATTATTTAATCACTTGTTGACCACCTTGACTCATTAATAGTTTAGCTCATTCACTTTATACTAAAAGCAATACAGACATTCCTTGTAAATGACTGAATTCTGGTCCTGCGGCAACGTCATTAATTGAATTGATTACTAAATGAGGAATTATATATAGTGTGAGCATCACAGTATTCAAACAAAGAAGTCGTCAAACCGAACTACAGCTTGATGCCTTTACTTTTACTTGCACAACTTTTACATGAAGTATTTTAATGTACAGCAACACATAAAGCTGTAGTAATGTACCATATGGTGCAATCAGCAAAATTACAATACTGTGTAAGCCAGGCGTACCATACCAAAAAAAAAAAGATGTTGAGGTGCTATAAAAAAGATATACAGAACTGTACCCAAAAAATGGGTTGTAAGTCAGAGCGGCAGGTGGAAAGTCTGAATATTCACCTGACAGGTAGGTCATTAAATGAGGAGTATCTATATTCACTTTGCTTTACGGACAGCTGAGGGACATGGAATTACCTTCCATTTAGAAAAAGTGAGGAATGAATAAGAGTAAGATTGGCTGGGAAATGCATTTGGGGCCAGGGGTATGAACTAAGGGTATTGGTATTCTAGACAGGGGAGATAAAAGGTGTTCTAGTGAGAGGATTGTTGTGTATGAGGTTCTAGAGCCTCAAAAATAAGTTTGGATTTCTTGAGGAAGAGCGCATGCCTGGGTTTGTTCTAGTGGGAATGCTTGTTTGGAGATGAGATTGATGAGACACAATTATATGGGCTTTGAAAATAGAGGAAAAAGGTTTAAATTGGAATATGTGGGAAGTGGGGACCCTCTGAAGATTTCAGTGATGGCTGTAACTTCTGTTTGATGTAAGCTTTCACTATATTTGGCATTGTGCTAAGCACTTCACATACATTGCTTCATTTAAAGTTTAACGATTTTCTGAGGCTAGATTGTTTTTTTGTTTGTTTGTTTTGAGACAGGATCTCAAGGTATAGTTCTAGCCAGGCTTGAACTCACTGTGTAGTCCAGGCTGGCCTTGAATTTTCAGTATCCCCCTGCCTCAGTAGTTTACCACCTGCTGAATGCCAGGCATACGTAATATAGCACTTGTCAGTTTTTATCCTTAATTTGCAGGTGAGGAAACTTAGACACAGGAAAGTTAAATAATTTGACCAATAGTGGAAGTGGTTGTTTTATCTTTGTAGTGCTGTAGAGCCCAGGGCCTCATGTGTGCTAGATAAATACACTCTCACTGATTTATACCCTAACCCTGGCTTTTGTTTTTGTATGTTTTGTTTTATTTTGTTTTTTTGAGACAGAGTCTTGCTCAGTAGTTTAGGTTGGCCTCCAACTTGCTGCAATCCTCCTGCCTCAGCCTCCTAGTGCTGGGACTACAGATGTGTATCACCATGCCTGGCCCTTGTTGTTGAAGGTGTAGTAATTGGAGAGGCTAATGAGACCCATAGTATTAATTCTTCATTATATTTTAGATGATAGGAGGAGGAAAAAAGATTGTCGAGAAACATTATAAATTAGGGAATTAGTGCTCGCTTCGGCAGCACATATACTAAACTAGGAAATTAGACCAAGGAAGTGATTGAAAGCTAGAGAGAACAATAGGTGTACATCTGTAATGAACTACCCTGAAAAGGGACTGAGCATGAGTGAACTAGTTGACTACATTACGAAGCATGTGTAAGTCAAGCGTTCATTGCAGTTGTGCATATTTATGAGCTGCTGTGTAACATTTCACTACATGTATACAATGTGTATACAATGTATGATGACTAGATGAAGTGGATTTTGTTCTTTTTTTTTTTTCCTTTGACACAGGGTCTTGTTATGGCTGACCTAGAGCTCACTTTGTAGCCCAGGCTGGTCTCTAACTTGTAACAATCCTCCTGCCTTAGCCTCCCAAGTGCTGGGATTACAGGTGTGCACCACCATGCCCTGTTCGATTTTATTCTTTTAGGGAAAAAAAATTTTCATTTTGCAGAAAAAATAAACTGGCATACCCAGGATTAGTTTATCTGTAGTTACCAATTAACTGGCTGTTTTTATAGTTTCTTTTTTACTTCTCATAAATAAAAATTGATGAAAGGCTTAGAATTTGCTTTAAAAGGATTATTTTTGGGTACTCAGAAATGTGTACAATATTTTGACAAGATTAAGTTTGAAAATATCAAATTAATTTAAAAAGAGTAAACTCATTTCCTAATTATATTCCTTTTACAGGAGCACAAAACGAATGGTTTTTTGGATGAATATGTAGTCTTGATAATGACTAGGTTTTTATTATATGATGAAAATAATGCAAAATTAATTTTTTTAGATTTTGGATATATTACTATGATAGTAATTTGAATTTTAGATTATAGGAAAAACTTGAGAGTATTGCATGAAAACAATAGATTAAAATTTGTTTGCTTATTATCTAGTAAGTATTGTGCTTAAGAAAGGTATACATTGTTTAATGGCCATATAGTTTGTTTTTCACAAAGAGAATTCTGGAGATTGGGTGCGTAACAGTGTGAGTGCACCTAACACTGCTGAGCCATACTTTGAAAAGCTACTGTGGTGAATTTTGTTATTATGAATTTTTTTAGGGGGTTGAGACAGGGCCTCACTTTGCATCCCAGGCTGTCCTTAGACGCGTGCCGACCCTCCTGCTTCAGTCTCCCAAGTGCTGGAACTACATGCATGTGCCACCATGCGTGGCCAAAAATAATATTTTAATCTCCTCTGCCAAACTACAGAATGTACAATAAGGAGGACGGAAAGAAAGAACAAAAGACAAATCTTTGTTTTCTATTGGTGTTAAGTGCCAGGTAATGTAGTGACTTGCTTAGTTGGAGAGCTTAAGTAAAAAGAAAACAGTTTCCTTGACAGCCTCTTGAGTGTTCACGGGCCTCTTAAATGACATGATCTGGCAGAGAGGAGTTAGAAGACCATAGGAGGGGAGGTCAGGCCCCACATGAATTAGCAGCCTGTTACAGTGACAGCACCAGTTTGTGAATAGCTGTGCTAGATACAAGGAGCTGTGATTTTCCTTTTTTTTTCCCCCTTTCTTTTTCTTCCATGTTTTCCTCCCTTCCATCTTTCTGTTTGTCTTTATTTTGCAGCGCTAAGTATTGAACCCAGGGCCTTCACACTGAGTGACATTCACAAGCCATTTATTTTGTTAGCACCGGAAATTGAACTCAGGATCTTGTGCTTGCCATGCAGGCGTTGTGTCACTGAGCTATATCCCCAGCCCCACAAGCCTTTTTATATTTCATATGTTTAATTTTTTTTGTTTTGTTTTGTGTTTTTGAGACAGGTCTCACTACGTAGTTTAGCTGGCCTTGAACTTACTCTGTAGCCCAGGCTTACTCTGTTGCCTCATACTGGCAACAATTCTCCTGCCTCAGCTTGCCAAGTGGTGGAATTACAAGGATGTGCTACTATGCGTTCCCTAACAAAATTTTTCAAGGCCAAAAGAAAAGCCATTCCCAAATTGCAGAGATTTAGAGTATCCAGTTGCTCAAAAGTGAAGGAATAGTACTCCTTTGAGGTACTCCAAGTTCATTGGACTAGAAAGATAGATATTCTATTAAAGCAACACCAAATCACTGAAGAATCAACATAGCAGTAACACTAAGTTCATGCCTGACAGGTCCATCTCAAGATATTACGGTCCTTTAAAAGGAATGGTTGGGAGAGTGAGGCAGGAGGACTGCTGTGAGTTTGAGGCGTCCTGGCTACATAGTGGGTTCAGGGCCAGACTGGACCTACATAATGAGTCCCTGTCTCAAAAGAAAGGGTGAGAGGAGAAGTAGAGGCAAAATTAGAAAAAGAGATAATGGTTATAGAGCTGTTGCAGAAAGTTAGCTAGAGATAGAATTGAATGTGGCCCCTGCATTGAGCATGGATAAGAGAGACAATTGGAAAGGCATTTCCAAGACAGAATGAGAGAACTTCAGTTGGGTTCCTCACCCTGAAAATTGGTCTTTCATTGGGAAATTCTGTGGGGGGTAATGGCATTTACAGAGAGAGAGAGAGAGAGAGAGAGAGAGAGAGAGAGAAGAATAGCAGTTCTGTTGGGCTAAGGCAGTGAGTTCATTTTGAGCCCTGCTGGTTTGCATTTGTAGGTGGAGACCAGTTGAAGATGACCTTGGGTGCTTAGCTCTGTGCATCTAGAATGCAGAAATAACTTTCAGATTCAAGTCACTAAAGGCTTTTAAAATCTACTGCACCTGGAGCCTTGAAAATCTGCTGAGAAAAGTAATGGAGAGGTTGTTATTAGCACAGGTTGTGACAGAACCCCAAGTATTTAGTAGATAAATAGAGGAAGACCCAAAGAGAGCAAGCAGGCCAAGGAGGACAGCGGAAAATCACTGTCGCTGAACTTGAAGAAGGTGACAGTTCTGTCCAGAAGGTGTGCTGCTTTCTGTCACAAGTGGCAGTGACAGATAAGGACATATAAGCGTGTGTTTGGCGTTCCTGTAGGCTAATCATTGTGGTGGGTGATGGAGGTTAACCAGTTAACAGGATTGAGAGTCTGTGGGAGGGGAAGAGATGGAGCAATGGACA